TATCCCTGCTACTATCTCCCATACCTGCCATCTCGCCATCTCACAGAGGCGCGCGCTCTCTCTTTCTGTCTATACAGATACATGTATATATATATATATATATATATATATATATATATTTCTGTCGCATTTATATGCTCACGTTGAGCACATGTATATTATTTGTTTACATTATGAGATGCAATAATTGTAATTATAAAGATTAGATATATAAGAAATAGAAAGAGCAAAGCAGAAAATTAGTGACTCAGGATCCAAAATAGTCCGAAAAAGAATAATAATGCAGAAACAAAAATAGATCGATCAAATGGGAATAATTAATATTTTACGACAGGTTTCACGCATTGATCGCTCGTATGCACCTACACATGCCTTTAAGTATCAAAATTGAAGACTGAAAAAGTCAGAAAAAGCATTTCAATTGTCATCCTGTTGATATATACAGAAAATCAGTTAAAATTCCATGCTTTCATCTTGAACGTAATTGATACATTATACGTATTTCTATAGGTATGTTACTTTCTTAAATTTGATTACTTAGTAATTAAGAAAGAATAATTTTTCAAATATAATATAGATATAGTAATTATACAAAATAATATGAATAGTTACCATTATGTTTATTGGTATTAGATATATATGACTGATTATCCAAAAACATAAACGAAATATTTCGGTATTTTAGATAAAATGTAGCATTATCTATATCAAAATAGTTGCTTTTACATTTTATCGTTCGAATTTCAACAAAATTTTCGCATGGAAAATTAATCTATTAATTACAAAGTTATTATTTAATAATTTACTCATTTTATCAAACTACATTTTTTTTCTTATATTTGCTTGAAATTATAAATTAACATTGAATATTCAATTAAAACGTTTAGAGACTACGATTTATTAACTATCAAAGTCTGTACGAAGAAATTTTATTTAAGAACAGTTACTTTCTGAAAATTTGTATACCTAGTTCAAAACTAATAATATTTGTAATGTTTTTGAATATGTATCTTAATGAGTATAATTTTGCACTCATGATGATAATCCATGTGAGTTAACACGCGTTTGTAATTTATTTTAATTCATTCTTATTCTTATTATTAGAAAAATGGTTTATTAATACAAAAATATATTATGAATAATTAAAACAGATTATATTATCAATACGACTTATATATAATATATATTCAGTACAAAATTATTTAAACCTATTACAGATTAATACTACATTATAAAAAAATTGTTATCGACAATAACATCCTAATATGTGTAATAAATTATATTTTAAATATACACAAATAATGCATGAGTACTATTAATCAAAAATTCTGGTTAAGAATATTAATTTTGAAAGCGATTTATACAATATTGAGAAAATAAAATAAAAAATATATATAATGAATTAATTTTTCACAACAAATAAAACAAACAAATAAAAACAGTGAAAATTAAAATACGGTTGGAGAAGATGTATATTATTTTGCTTTGAACTATGGAAACCTTAATTATTGTTCGGTAATTTAAAATTTAACATTTACGGAAAAAAAATTTTTACTGTTACATTTAATGTTTGCAAAATATAAATATTATTTCTATCAGAGAGAACAAATTATATGTATGTATAGGGTTAAATAACATGTCGTGATAAATAAAAGATAAAGTATATAATACATAATTATGAATACATTTTAATTAATAATATTGATGCGATTATTAGAATATGATGACAAATGAAAACATTATTTTTATATGATAAATAGAAAATGAAAAATCCTAGTTAATTTAAGAATAAAGAGATAGAATAAAATGAGTCATGCTAAAAGCACATTATAAGTAAATTAATATTAAAAATAAAATTATTACAAACTGAACTAAGTAAGAATTAATAAATATTGATAATTTGATAAGATTGCTAAATATTATTTTTCTATTACTCGGTCGTTCTATTTTTCAAATAAATAATAAATTAAAGAAAACGTGTGAGAAAACTTGGCATTATGAATTTGTTTCGCCTCTTCGTATTAAATTACTTGTATACACATTATGGATTCGACAGCCTGAAACTATGAATGTCACTTGTACACGTCACAAAAAAAAAAAAAAAAAAAAAAAAAAAAAATGATGGTTTTAATAACCCGTTTAACAGATAGTTTAATTTTTTTTCTAAAGTAACGATCCATCTAATGAAAACCATATCGATAATTTTCTATATTAAATTATTATATTTATCGAATTAGTACGAAATCAGTGCGTACGAACATTATTATTTTTAAAAGATTACCAAAAAAATCTTATTGCTAATTATGAACGAAGCTGTATTTTACAATATAAAATTTAATTTAAATAAATTTTATAACTTCAATAATAATATATTATACAAACTGATTTTATTTTCCAAGGAAATATAAATATTTGAAACATATTTTATTTATATATCTTGTATACGAAATCTACATTTGGACAGTTTGTTAATTCTTTAAATAAATATTGATTGTTGTTATTTTAATACCTTTGATATAATTATTTTATACAATTTTTCTATATTTTAAATGCAATATTATTGTAAAATCAAAATTTAAACAAAATTTTCTTCCCTAAACAATATAATACTTGATTTTAATAAAATACATTTTTCAATATATAACCGATAATTTGTTAATTGCGATGTTGATTATTGCAAACATAAAACGATGCATCAAGTGTAAAATATTTTTGTGTCATTCTGTTACGAGACAAGTGAAAGAAAATGTAATTTATAAGAGAAAGAATAATCGGTAGATTAATTTTCCGTAATCACTTTGACCGTTTGCAATTGTGTGATCAACAATGTAGAAAAGTAGTTTTGAGTGTCCCGAATTTTGAAGTATTTAAAGAGTCCGAGTAGATTTGTTCTTCACGAGTTTAGTTCGTTTGTGGTAAACATCGCACGCGCATTCATCGCTACTTTATTTTGGGGCCGTTCACGACAAACATACCAATGTGTTTCTTTGAGTAAAAATGTTTTTGCTCCCTTTAACGAACTAGAATAAAGGAGATAAATGAAAAACGAATATAAAAGATAGATGGGTAGATGAAATGAAAAGGAAAGAGAGAGAGAGAGAGAGAGAGAGAGAGAGAGAGAGAGAGAGTAAATGGGAGAAGAAGCGCAAGACAAACTTTTTAAAAACTTTTCTCGAGAATTGCTATATCCGTTCGCCTATCTCTGGAACTTGGCAACATTGTGGCTTCGGGTCCTTAGCCGCTAGACAAGAGAAGTCCAATGAAAGTGTCTGCTCGAAGTAAACATGGCCAAGCAGCGGGTGATCTTCTCGTCTTTAAACCTTCCTTCAATGACGAGTATGCCGAAAGGGAGAACGATAGGGAAGGAATGACGTTGCCCAGGCAAGAATCTGAGATCGAGAAAGAAGCTCAGAGGTACGAATTGTGGGTTCTGTATGCACGGTTGATGCATACAGAGTTTGAAGGAAAGAGAGACCGAAAAGAGTACGTACGGGGTAAGAAGTCTCATATGCGAAAGCGTTATATGATCGAGAAACATTGGCTACGTCGCTTCCTTCGTCCACTTGAGCTGTGTATGTACGCAGAGACCGCAGAGGAAGAAAGGGAAGGTTTTCGGTTTTCGAGCAAGTTTTCGCTAGGTTCACCGGCTGGCACCCAAATCGAATAAAAGTCAGATATACTTTCCTCTTCTCTCGCTTCCGCGAGCTGGTTGTATTTTATTTACGAGGCTGGCAAGTACACACACGCACGCACATGCCGCGAGTGGAAAAATCTAATAGATTTTCGAGCGACGGAACACCACGTAGTTGGTGCAATATACTTACCGGCGGCCCATTCCGGAACGCGACGCGACGCGACGACATTGAGTTATGGCAGCTGCGCGGTATTATGTCGGCTGTCTGTTGTTATCGTGCAAGGCGTACGTACCGAGAGCTTCACTACGTGTTCCCCCGCATTTGCCAACAGCCACGTCGGCCTCCTGCTAAGAAATCACGTGCACGCCGTCAGTATGGAGAGTCCCATGGAAACAATTCATCTAGCCCATTGATTGCTCCATCGTTAACTACTCACCTATCACTTTTAAGTTATCTCCTCGTTCCTCCACCCACCCCACTAGGCCGCCATTTTACCTACTCCCTTAACTTACACCGCTTGTTGTTGTGTCACCACCGTTCCCCCACTCCCCGTTGTGCCCCCTGTGCCGAGGCCGAAACGTCCAAACTTTTATTAATATTTAATATGTTCCGTCGGATGTTTGCGCACGCACAGATCGACACTCGCGCTGCCCTATTAATTAAATCACGAATGTCTTTATTCCTCGTTCGAAACGTATGGAGGACGATGCTGTTGCTCGATGAAGGACGAGATAGAAAGACGAATTTGATTGAGAGATGCGATAGTGTCATTGTAATTAATTTATGAGCGTCACCGTATTCGCCGTCGACTTTTTCTTTATATAAACTTGTAAGTATAAAGTTGTTGATTCCTCGACTATTCCACAAACTATTAAAACAATCTTTTAGCATTATTTCGACATATTAATTGATTTCTACATATTGATTATTATTTATTTATTTATTTTTTTTCTATTAAGCCTCCGCAACGTTGCTTTTACAAGATAAAGCATTATATGCAATTGGAAATTCATAAAACCAAAGCTTCATTGTGATATGTTAAGGTACAATTCAAAAAAAAATTTCCTTTTATTTTTAACTGCAATGCTTTTTACATAAAGATCGCATTTCCTAATACCATATGAGTGTTATAACTCAAGTTAAGCCATTTTATCTAAAATTTACCATTTTTTAAGCTTCTTTCATTATAGAGGAGACGAGAACGTTAATTGTCTCTCGGCACTTTACTCGCTAGAGAAGACATCAAATTATAGGAAAGTTTATCCCCCCCCCCCTCCCCTCCCTTCCCGGGGACATAAATATTTATTTCTCCTATCAAACTCTTCTTCAACGCCGTACGAACGATCGAATATGATTTTCACTTACCGACAACGTGAAGATAGCCGTATTGCGTTTTCGCAGTGGCTGTGTTTATCTGACACATGTACCTCCCTTTATCCTCCTCTTGCACATCGTTGATATGTAGGTACCAAGTCCGGTGCTTGTCGTGCGACACGGATATTCTCGGATTCCTCGTAATAACGTGATTGTGCACTGTCAAAATGGCGCTCTGATCGAACAACATCCACGCGACCTAGAAAATAAAGATATGTTAGAAGATTCCTTTCTGTGATATATGTATATATCATATTAGATTTCGGTATGACTATAAAAAGAAAAAAAAGACCATTAATGGTAAGCATTATTGAACAATTGACGGATATATATATGTTTTATTTCATTTAAATGCTCTCACAACTTATTTAAATTTTATAGTATATACGCTTATGATATTTTTTAATATGAATAGCATAACGCAGAATGATAAATTTATTGCAAAGCGGAAATAGCAGCAGAATCGAAAAAATTTAAACGTTTATAATACTTTCTCAACTCATAAATTTTACTGCAATTAATAATTATTTTTAAGTAAATTTTATCATTACAACGACTATATTAAATTAATTGTGGATCGAAAAGCCATCCAGTATCTGCAAATTGAAGTTATTGCCAAAAAATTAATACAATCTGTCGCTATTACAATATGACGTATTTTAAATCCAGTCACTAAAGCATTTCAATATATGAAAGAAAAAAAAAAAAAAAAAAAAAAAAAAAAAAAAAAAAAAAAAAAAAAAAAAAAAAAAGAAAGAAAAAGAAAAAAGAAAAAAGAAAAAAAATGGTTTCCTATAAATATTGATGAAATAAAATTCTAATTCATTTGCGAAATTGCTTGTAATATTAGATTATGAATCATGAAATCATTGAAAGATATCGAATTCTTTTTAAAATAAAACTGCCCATTACATTATTCCTTTTATTTCATTATGTATGATAAATATAATTTTATAAAACACTGACACATACTTCAACACACTACAAATACTAATGATATTATTTGGTAAATATCGATAAATGTTAATCCGAATTTCATTAAGCATATAATTACTGCATTAAAATTATTTTTATATTTAAAGGTATTTCAAAAAACCATTATAAAACAAAAAACTTTCATATTTAATAGTGCTAAAAACTTATAAGACTCGTTATTTTAAATACGTAAATCTTAAACTTGAATTTAATCAATTCACATAACAACTCATCAACCACAGCTTTTAATTTATTTTTTGTAACTTGTAGGTTTTTTTTTTTATTAATGTTGAGTACCGTAGAGCAAAGAACACAGTTCTCATGAAGTGATTTATGTTCGTTTTGTTATGAATTTATGTCGACAAACTCAATAGACTTTTCATCCATGGGAAAAATCATTTTGAAATAATGGAGAAAACGGACTATTATAATCAACAAATAATTAAATATATTTAATAATAGCATAAGGATATTGTTATTGATGTCACTCAAGTCATTGAGTACAGGGATTTAACTTTGCAGAAACGAAAAACGAAATCATAAGAACCTCGTGTAACCTCGAGTAAGCTTTGTTTAAATTATCGTAGGTAACTTCTATAAGAAGTACAATAGCCCTACTCTTACGGATTCAAACAGTTGATAAGGGGAATACAAGAGTGGGAGAGGTATGAGCGCGCGAACATTTGTTTTGTAAACACTAGCCAACGAACTCGAGAAATGTTTCTACGCCGAAAAAACTCGAATATACGACTAGAATTCCGAAGAATTGTAACAATGAAACTTACAAAAACTATGCATTATTGACGTCACGACAAATATCGGCATAGCAACAGACACCGGATCGCCACCGGCACCTAAAAATTACCACGAGAATGCTTAAGGACTGCGCTTGTCACGCTCCAGTCAGTCTTTGTCTCAGTTTAGTATAATAACGGTTACGCACTAACACGACGAGCTCATTATTCAGTCTTCAAGCTTCTCTCTGCAGTCATAACTCACTGTGTCATCACTCTATAAACGTACGTAATACACAACCAGTAAGCGATCTAACAATACAATAGTGGTGAAGCCACATTATCAGAATCCGTTAATTGAGCTTAAACGAATAACGCGCTAGTAGTGCTAACATAATCGAGAGTGAAATTATCGAGTCATACTACATATATATTAACGGATCACACCGACACCAAGTAGTTGCAAACGGTCGTCCCCCATTGCACGACTTCGGTACGACAGCGGCGGCTCTCACGCATACCGTCACACATACAGCGTCGCTTCTCGGAAGGGAAGGAGTCGTCACCTCTCACATCATGGAGAGTATACGCACTCTCCTCAGCACGTAAACCAATTGAAGAAACTTTTCCAAATTATTCGCTCACACCTTCGTTCACGCACTTTATCATTAATAACTATTTATTACATTATTATATTTAATAAAGGAAAGAAAAGAAACACTGCGCGTAATATTGAATAATTGCATTGACCCTTTCACTTGCCAGCAGCAACACCTCCACCCAACATCAAAGGGAGGTTTTTCGTCTGATCCCAGACACCTACCCTAAATAACTATAACAACTTTACCGGCTTTTGCGTAGTGATTGTGAATTGAAGATCCTATCTTTGTGCATATATCTTCGATCGACTTTCATGAGGATCGCCGGCTTGTCAAATATTCGCGATGACGAACAATGAACAAAAAATTCATACGGATTCTATACGACAAATAATACGAAATGAACAAATCCTTTTAAAAAAGCTTTAAAAAAAGTATTGAGGGCACGAAATTGTTAAGGCAAGCAGTTAAGCCAAGTGCCCTTGCGATTACCGATTAACCCAGTCTCTAGATCATTCTATCCTTGCCTTGCTCTTTCTCGTTTATGATCGACGACCTTTCTGCTCCATAGCATTACACAAAAAATTTGGTTAATATATAAATCACACAAAACGCTAATTAGAGTATAAAAATGTTTGAATAGACTTTGAACTATTTTTTCTTGTTTAATTCGTTAAAAATACAGTTAATACGTGGGACAAAAAATTATTATTCCATTTTAAATTATGACAAAGAATCGACACTAATAAATAGTCTTTTGCATTAATTAATTTAATAATTATATACAATTATATAAAATCTATATATCAAAAAAAAAATAATGCGAACAGTAATTGTAAATCGACAGCGCCGTACCAAAAATAATATTATTTGTATAATGTGTGTTGCACATTAGGTACTATGCAAAGCATTGAATACCAAAATATTTCTCACCAGAAACTTTTGGTTATATAATCATAGTTAATATAATACAATTCTCATGCAAGGTCCATATTTGAATATTTTCTTAGTCATTTGATTCAACGTGGAACGATAATGACTGAATTATGCAAAAATGGAAATTAAAAAATGTTACCCCTTAAAAAACATATTTCTCTCTCTCTCTCTCTCTCTCTCTCTCCCTCTCCCTCTCCCTCTCCCTCTTTTAACATAAAAAAGACATTGAGATTATTGCAATAGTATCTGACAAATTTTTTGGTTAAGTCACATTAGATAGCTTACATTAATAATTTAATTAGAAAAAAAAATTAATATTTTAGATTTGATTATTATGTATTACCGCATACTATGTAGGAAATAATATCTTCGTGTTTATTTTGTTAAATTACAAGAAAAACATAGCGTAGCATGAATCGAGATAATCTCATTTATAAAAAAGAGATACTTGCTTAATAATTAGTGTATTGAAATGGTTTTTTTTCTTGTCAGCGAAAAAACTCGCATGTATTTAGGTTCTGAATTTTGTCTTTTACGCGCATATAAAAATTTATGTAAAACAGTAAATTAAATACAAGTTAAAAAAATATATATATGTATGTATAAACATTTTATAAGAGCTAAGGGAAAATAAAATTACTATATTGACATATATTTAAAATTATGCAATTATAACGTGGACTCGTAATAGAGAAATCTGCTTAAAATTCCATTGTCGGATAGAAAAATTAAGTTATGGTAACTTCATTTTATATTTGTCTACATTAACTCACGTCGCACAATGAATTAAAAAGATACAATTTTCGTCCCTTTTTGCCATCCAGTAATTCATAAAAATTCTATTCTTTCAAATAGTTAAAAATCCAATCGATATTGATTAAAATGAAGTTGAATTAAGGGATTAACGGAGCTTGCTAACTTGTCTGAAAGTGAACAGGAAAAAGCGAGTTTTTTTTACGAGCCCAGGGAAAGTCGAAAAGCACAGTACGTAACTCGGCAAAGGTGAAGGGAGAAGCTTTCACGAGGGCGAATAAAGGTGATATGTATGGCGGCACATAGATCGCGGAATAGCGCAAAGAGAGATAAGGGCAGCTGCGGCACAACGTCCAGAGGTAAGAAGCTTGCCGTACCTTCCAAGATGAATTCTGGGAGCGACGGAGGGAAAAAAAGAGGGAGAAGAGGATAACGGGAAAGGTGCGAAAGGAGTAAGAGGGCATAGAAATTCGTTACGCGAAAAGTACAATCGTCTCAAGAGATGGGAGCAATTCCCACGGGAAAGAGAAAGTCCCCGGAGACAGCGAAGAAATGATCCACGATACGCTTCTACTGAGATAGGACGAAAGATAGAGAAGAGTAGAAGGGAGAGGGCAATGGAACTCTCTCTCTCTCTCTCTCTCTCTCTCTCTCTCTCTCTCTCTCTCTGTGCGCGCGTGTGTGCGTGCGCGCGATAGAGGAAGAGAGAATGAGAGAATCAAAAAGTAAGGCATGACGCGGAGGGGCGGGTAGGAGTCTGAACGCGGTAGAAGAAAGAGATAGTGTAAGCAAATGGAATCCTTTTGTAACAAACGATATCTTCTTATAGGATTAGCTTTTTCTTTCAATTGCTACGTTCGCGTAAAATAAGAAATATGTAGTTGTATTTATTTAGTTGATCTTTTACTTCTTTTGTATTAACGTTTGTTAACATATGAAGCGTAGATAGTATTTTCCCGAATGAATCGGATTTTTGAAATTATAATAACGAATATCCTGCACTGACTTTAAAAAAGCTGAGCTTCGTTCAATTATTTTCATCCATACCTTATTAGCAATGCAATTCCGTTTCAGAACAACAAAAATACTAGTCATCGAAAAAGTGGTCTTCTAATGAAAATATAGCGTAAATATAATTTAAAATAGTTCAACTTTATTTTGCTTTAATTATTACAAAAAAATTATGTAACAGTATTGCAATA